CTTATACTATATAAATTATAAATTAACTTCATTTTAGCCATGTACAAAAGTTAGAGATTTTATTGAAGAGTCATTTAATCTATAAGCTGTGGGTCAAGTATAAACATGTCCTATAATATCGACATATTTAGAATACGGTAATTACCATATTATAAGAAACGGTAATTTCCGCAAGAATACGGTAAATATGGAAACGATCGGTATAACAGCAAAACCATTTCCGTTTTCATTTCCATATTTTTTACCATTTCCATTTTTGTTTCGGTCGATTACCATTTCCATATGGCTCGGCCGGTAGAAAGTCGAAAACGAACGCCGGTCGGCCGGTAATTACCGTTACCGTTTTCACCCCTATTCGTAGTGGAGTACTGGAGTACAACAGCCACGACAATTGACAGCTTGATGTCCTATCCCTGATGATTCCATCCTCAGACGGGTAAACTCACTGATGTGGCCACTTTGCCCCAGCCATAGACCAAGTCAGACAGACATCAAGGCGATACTGAGACATTAGGTGAATCAGTTCCTAGCTAGCTCCAGACATTTGATGGGTGCATCATGAACCAGATCATCGACATTGTATTCAATGTGCATCTTCTGCTGTCTATTAGCAGGTTTGAGGAATTAGTGGAACAAGTGAACCGCACTGATGAGCTGTTAGTTGAATTGATGCTTGGAAATACTGTATAGTGCTGGTGTATTGAATTGTCCAAGATAAGGAGTGCTACTAACGGCAAGATGGTGCTTAATGAGGTGCAGACAGAGGTGTATTACGACAAGAATGGCATAACATCAGTCATGGCATCCGAGTACAGAAGGTATTCCCTACAGTTTCTTAATCATTTCAATAACTATTTCTTTGCTTCCTGCTAGATATTAATTTTCCTCTAAACGTGATTTGTTCTTAATACATCTAAGAGATACATTAGAGGTTCCAACATATGTATGCTTGTTGGAAAGAATTATATTGTTACCTTGCTTCTTTCGGATAGAGGATCTGATGTTTGATGTATGGTAGATTGCATGACTTAATACATGCTGCATTGTTATTTTCCATGTAGCAGTATAATATAAGATGCTTTCCTAGCTTTTTATATGTGATTCCTGGGAGAAAAGGTTTGAATGTGTTGCGTTTGGCCTTTTGCAATGGCACGAAGTTAGCCACTAATCTCCTTCTCAAGGGTTGTATCTTGGGCCCTGTTTTTTATTCCTTTTGGTTTCAGGCTCAAGTGAAAATATGGTTACGTGGACAATAGCAGCGTGAAAGGTCAGACATCCATCAATTCCATCATTGATGGTGATTGATTATTCCTTCACATGAATCCCTTTTTTTTGTTTCTTGTTTTTCTTATCCATGTCCACCTGAGTAGATAACATTTGTTTCAATTGATTTAAAGGAAAATTGAAGTATTAAATTGGTGGTTAGCAATATTTTGTATGCGTTTCGAATTTGCTTCTAACGTTTTGGCCTGGATGTGCATTTGTGTTCCATCAAGATGTTATATCGTTTGGTATTCCATGAAAAGAGGTGGATATGAAAACTTGAATGTGCTTGCTCACTAAACCAGGGTAGCTGCAGTAATTTCCATAACTTGCTGCATGGAAGGAAAAAAAAATCAAAAGATATATATGTTAAAATTTTGGTGGTCTGATAATCACTTGAGCCTCCTGTTGGGATATCTTGCGCTGAATGCAAGTAGGATTCCCTGTTTGCAGAAAAGCATTTGTTGCGTCCATCTTTCCTGTTTATTTTATAAAGAATTATCCTATTTATTTACATGTTCTTGCTCTCCTCTCCTAAATCACAATGTCTGCTTTGTAGGACATGAGATCTCACCGTGTTCCTACTCCAATTTGTGATGATGGTGATGGCAAGAGCATAAGAGAATGGTGCAAATAAAGCTAGGCTAGGTGAGCTCTATGCAATTTATTCTACTATGCGCATCTTGGGATGGAAGTACATTTGTTGGTCTATTCAATTCTTCTTTAGATTGTTGACTGAACCAAATAACCAACTTGGTGCCGTTTACTTTACAGGAGGTTTTCATATTAGTTTTTCCCCTCTTATGCTATTCTGGTCCTTTAGTTAACAGTACATGAAAAGTAGTTCCTTTTTGTTGCTATATTTACAAGTAATCATGAGTTTCACATTATAGCTTCAATAATGTAACATATGAAAAATAATTATAATCACCATCATTCTCAGGATGACACTTATGATGTGCATTCAGTTTATCATTATATTCAGAGCTTCATCTTCCTTGTTCAAAGCTTATGATGACACTTATAATTTCGATGCTCTATGAAGTAAAGGATGATTTTTTATAGCATGATCAAGTGATCTTTGAGATGTAACAGTGCATGCGCCGCAGCAGATTCAACATTTTTTTAATATATTTAAGTTCAAAGATTTAGCTTTAGGTTCATGATTAAACAAAACTGATTTTAAATTGAGAAAATGTGATGGTATTTCGGTTTTTAGGCAGTCCTCGAAGCAAACTCAGAGCCTGTCCAAAATTAATACGAAATCTCCAGTACAGTTATCTCATTCAGAAAATTGATGTTCAAATAATTCACAAAAATTACATTGTCATTATAAGATGTGCATGATAAGCTGCTAGATTATGCCTATTTTTGTTGATATTTATCTTCTCTAGCATCATCAGATAAATTATGCCTCAGCTAAATGCCCACGGTGCAACGAAAGCAATCCTGTTATCCGCAGTAACCTAGGAACCAATTCGTACTCATACTAGCTGCTACCGGTTTAGCCGCCCTGCATGACCCTGTTTCACTGCCCTATACGATCATGCAACAAAATAAGAAACTCATCTGTCCATTCCTTGATACTTTCTGTTACAATTAAATTCCGAAATATTCACCTCCATTAACGTATTATCATGATTACTACTATACAATTCTCTTATGCCTGTCAGTAGATGTTTTATCTCAATTATTGTAATATGCTATTTTATTCCATTCAGCTAATAATATTTCACTGCCCATCAATAAATTCACTCATATTTCATTGTCTCAGAAGTCAGAACATTGTTTGCACTACTAATATATATTACGTTACATCAAGCAATAGGAAAAAAAACCCTTCATATACATCCTTTTTACCTGCCCTAATTTATGTTACATTTCGATATAACGCAAGTCAACATACATAATACTCATTGTCTACAGTTCTGCTTCTTTCAGTTCAGATATTATACTATTTTATAGCTTGTTGCCTTCACCCAGATATTGACACAAACCCAACATATGTTGCAGGTTCTTACCCATGGATACGCCTACATCATCTATGCTAAAATTCACTCCGCTAAGCCAGAAGCGTTTTGTGAGTAAAAATTACCTTTTCTTTTTAAATACCAGCCTTGATTTGCCGCTCGTTATTGATGCAATGTTGTTTAGACAAACTTGCACGAAGTTGCAAAGCAAGACATGGGGAAAAAAAACTCTTTTTGCACTAGATATCTCACCACAGACTGTCACGTTTAAAGAAATATCGGGATCGTTTTTTATCTGCAAGGGATGGAAACATTTTGTTCAGTGTGTTGGGCTCGTTTCGGACAAAACATTGTATTCAAGTTTCTTTCTTCGTCCATGGTTGATGTGCTGCTTTTTGACAGAGACAGCCGTAGCAAGCTTCCCCTGCGTGCTAACTCCAGCTATGGCATAAAAAACAACTCGATGATCATCACTCCAGACATGCAGTTCTCAGGGAACAAGCTCCTGCAAAAAACAAAACAGTTATCGTATCTAACAGCTCAACTGAAGGCTTCCTTTTACCATTTCATATTTACAATTATCCATATATGTGTTTATCTGTTTATGTTTACGTTTAACTCCATGTGTCTATAGACAGCTCTACTTAAAACTAACTGAATGTTAACGTTTCAGGCACGTCATCTGACACTGAAACAGAATTACCAGCCCCTGTGCATTCGAACATCAAAAAAACAAGTAAATTTGCTATCCGTTCCTTTGTCATTCAGGTCAGCTTGCTCTTAGATCACGCCGTGCAAAATACTTCTATATAGCTCACAGTGAAAAGTGACATTCTGATTTACCATTTTCTTAGCTTTTATCTTCAAAGGCTAACAAATAGAACAATAAACAAAAAAAAAAGATTTTCTTTACCAGCACTGCGCAAAACCTTACCCATATACATCTCAACAAAACAATTATTTAGTTATGTGATTGCCCTCTCTCCCAACAATTTAAAAGATCTGCACAGAAAAAGGTGTAGGTGTTCCCAAACGCACGTTCGAAGACCTGTGCTTTTGTGTGAAAAATGTCCAAGTGACATCTGAAATCAAGGAATACATCTCAGACATCAAACAGTACACCTCGCCCGTTCAAGCAAATTCTATGCTGTCACCATGAACAAAACATTCATCGAGCAAGATAGAGGTGAGTTTTTCCAGCTAGGTGAGTTTTTCCAGCTGTTGTTTTTTACCTACTCTAATAGATACTTATTATTCTTTTCATAGCTATATCGATTCGCTGACAATTAATTTCCATCCAAGTACTTTGCCAGAGATTACTAAGAAAACTACATACAGCCACTTATGCGGCGCAGAACAGCCATCGATAATCAGGTCTAAACAGCAGGTGGTGATCCAATGACGATGTTCCTTTGCATCTCGACAGATGGTTATTACAATCTAAAAGAAAGAATGGACTTTGTTTGCAGCAGAAAATAACATCCATCTCCAATCAGTCTGCATCTTCCATTTCTACAAGAAAATTCACATGGAAGCAACGATAAATGCCCTGTGAAAGCTATATCGCGAACCTATGTTGTAATATGCTAATCCTTTTGGTAACAGGAAATTACCATATTTCTGTCTCATGGACATGGTGTTCCAAGCTGTTCTGTGCCCATTGCCATGCTAATTAGGTCTGCATGGTAGCTCTTACGGTGCCTGCTAAACTACATTGTAAATTTTAAAAACCATCTATGTATACGGTTACTCTTAAGAACCACTCAGTAGTGCTATCTATGTATGTGATTGAAAGTGAACTCTATTTACATATGACTGCCTGCTTTGATATGCTTTGATCCTCATGTGACGATTTCCCTTAAATAATAAATTACACTTGCTTTATCACCCTGCTAGCGCACAGGCGGCGCGCCATTGGCGCGCCCCAACCTCTAGTTAGCCTGAAGAGTACAATGAACATGAACCAGCACAACGAGTCAATGACGCAACACTACAACAAGCATTTCTCCTATAAAATGAAACGTGGATCTTTGAACTAAATTACAACAAGGTCATATTACCAGGCGATCTTTGCCTTCATGTGCATAGCACAGGACAATTAGACAAAGGGCTGAGGTTATTACACCATGAACTAGAGTGAGCAATCCCTTCAGTAATAATCAGTGTTGTTCTCTGCTACGAGTTAGAGCTGATAGTTCCACAGAAACCGATGCCAACGACAAGAAATGCTATAGCCTGTAGGTATATGTAAACGAAATAGTAGTCGCCTCCATACGCCAAGTTGTAGGTCGCACAAAAGAAAAGGAAGATGGAGAACAGAATTTCCGACATTGTCCATCTGCAAGAATCACAAGGAACATGCACAAATTGGACTCAACTTAGTTTAATATTGATCAAATATCTTAATGTCTCGATCGATCTTGTACCTGTCCCAGAACCTGCAGGGAGGCCGTTCCAGTATTTGAGATGCAGGCTTTGTGTTGCTGCCATTGCCGAGCTTCTCAGTAACCACCCACTCATTCACACCACCCAGCTCCAGCAAGCCGATGAACATCGCCTTTGTTCGGTGAAACGACATGACATTCTCAAAGAGGATCCAGAATGGTATGAAGTGGATTGAACTGAAAGCAAAAAAAAGTAGTAACTATAATTAGGAACATGAAACATTCCTATGTGGCAGTAAAATATTTGTTGTTAACAAAGCTTAATTCACATGCAAGCATGGAAACCTTGTGTTTCTAATGGCATGTAGAAGTGTTATTGTTGTTGGGACATAAACCACTCCCCAAACAGGAACAGTGACCTCGGGGATTAGGACCGAAAACGGGATCACTACACAGTAGAGCATGAAAGGTACCACATGGGCAACAACCTTCCTCACAAAAAAGAAGCTGTAGAGCAAATAAAACTTCCACCAAAATGGTACCTCCTGCTCAAGAAATAGAAGAATATAACATGATGTTACATAGATATGTCCAAGAAACAAACAGTAATGTTGCAGTTAAATAGTCAGGTTAGAAACTATCTAAAAAATGGTCAGGTTAGTCACACAAAAAAAAGGGTACAAAATATATCAGGAAATAAAGTTGAGGCCCATGCATATCAGAAAAAATGTCACCAAATAATTCAGTGTATACCATGGATTATTGCTAACAAGCAAAGTTACCTTAGTGAATAATATTTCTGCTCCAACCTTCCGGAATAAGTTTGCTGCTCCACAGGTCCACCGGTGTTGTTGATGACGATATGTCTTCAGATTGCTTGGAAGTTCACTTTTTACCTATAATTTCCATGATAATTTACTTGCTAAACATCCATGAAAAATATTGTTGTGAACCACAAAAAAGTTGGGTATTAAACTACAATACCAACTATATGAAAAAAAAAAAGAAAAAGCAAAGGTACTTGCTTACATATTTCTCACATTTCCTAAACTGTTTCACATCAAACTATTGGCAAAATGTCCATGCTTCTAGCAGTCCTAAATGTCTCTTTTTTATTCTGTATTGCATTGATTTGTAAGGCCTTTACTAATGTAAGACGTGTAAAAAAAAGTACAACTTAACAAGATAACCAAATCCAGATGAACATGTCAGTACCATCCTACCTTGACATCTGCAAGATAGACAAATTTCCATCCTTTAAGACCAGCTCTGACTGCCAAATCCATGTCTTCAACTGTGGTTCGATCTTTCCATCCCCCAGCTTCTTCAAGGGCAGAAATTCTCCAAACACCAGCAGTTCCTGGAGTCAAAATAGGTTAATCCTCTAGCAATGCATGCGAGTGATTAAGTTTTGTTGAGATATTTCTCTCTTGTACACTACCATTGAATCCAAAGAAGGCAAAGGTGGATGAACCTCCTTCCTGCTCTACTTTAAAGTGATAATGTAGTGTCATCTTCTGTATCCTTGTCATCAGACATTCACTGGTATTAACTGCAAAATCGTCCCGAAATGCCAGTCAGCAAGTTCCTGTCAATCGGAACAAGAGATGCATCAGACAGAGCCTACTTTTTTTTCTTTTTGCAACTCAAACTTTATAGCCGCGTGCATCCTAGATGGAAAAGCCAGGAATGTAATCATCTCCCTTATCTAAAAAAAAAGGATAAAGCCTACTACCGGTAGTATAGACGTGTTTGGATTTGTATGAGATACTTTGTTGGCAGCTTGGTATGGGACAATTTTTTAATAGAATGGTCAGAGAACAATATGCATATGCTAACCAAATTAATGAACCTAAGTAGGGTAAATTTGAGTGCTTTTCAAGCTTACCAAATTCCCAATGTGCTTGAACAAGGCCAATCTGTGGATTACGCACAAGATATGGAATTGTTCTCAGGAGGAAGTCAGGTTCCGGTTGGAAATCAGCATCAAATATAGCAACATAATTGCACTGTTGCACATAATCACGCAGCAATCCTTCTTTCAGTGCACCAGCCTTGTATCCTTTCCGGGTGTTTCTCACCTCATATTTTACATTCTTGCCTTTATTACCCCAAGACTTGCATTCAAGCTCCACCAGACCCTATTTAGAGTTACACTACAAAAATGATTCATCTTTAAGGGGAAAAAAATCCAGTACCACTGCAATTAAATAGCTTGAGATAATACTTGCAAGACCATGGTTGGAGTCACACTCCAATATCGGCACTGTTACACACAAAAAAAAGAAAGAAAGAAGAAAAATTGTACCATAGTTTTTAACGTATATGGTGTCTTGGAAAATATATTAAATATGAAATATGTAAGATTATGAAGCATATGAGTAATAACATATAAATAAACTTTAGTTAAATCTAGCGGGGCAAATGCTAGGGAACCTACTAGTTTATACTAAAACAAGTAAATATTGATACCATTATGCCAATAAATAGGTAAATACTTCTTTACAGGGTTTAGAATTTCGTGAGCACAACAAATCTACCGGGTGACCGGAATTTCGTAATATTTCTGAACAAAATGTTTTTGGAATTTGAGCAAATTTAAATATGCTAAATTCATCCGAATTTTCAAACAGGTATGCAAGCTGACCCTTCTTGACTTCTTGATGTATTACCTCTTGTCATCAATTCCTTATTCTTTCTCTTTGTGCTTTGATGTACATCCTAAATTTATAGATATTTTCTAACTACAGTAATTTGTAAGGACATTGCTGGCATATACATAAGTAATAAGTTCCTTGTGCCTTTCCTCTTCATGACTTCATCAATATATTTTTCTTGAATTGCAGTAATTCCCACTCCATATATATCACTATCAGTTACTACATTATTTCGTACAATATCTGTTCTGCCTCAACCAGCTTGACGAAACAATCCAATCCCACTTCACCCTCTGCCCTATGGCACCATGCCACTATCTAATCTGACAACTCGCTACTGTCCACGTATCCATGACTTCCATCCCATGGGCTCAAAACAACCGATTTCATTTCAGAAAACTTACCAACAACTCCACCAAACAACAAAAAGTGATTTCTAAGTTATACCACTATCTCTAGCAACTAGCATTTTGCATATGCACTATTTTTTTCACAACTCTACTGCTGTTGTCACTATTGCAGAACAACAAATATGTTTCATCTCATACATGCTGATTCACCTAAACCCCGCGCGTATGACACATTTTTTGCACGCCAAAGCCTATACGAGAACTAAAATTTAGAACATGTACACATAATCTTGCCAACCTATATACCGACTATTATTTTCAACCAGAGTATATAATGGGTCCACTAACAATCCATAGAGCCTTATCAGTTGTCCATATTTCCTAATAAGCCAAAACAACTTATTAGGAAATAAAAATTAATTTATAGGTAAAACTTTTATATATTTCGTAGTGACTTAAGGTTGGTTTGGTTTGTGGCCTAAATAGGCCTTACCAAATTTTGTCAATGCCAAATTTTAGCAAGTTTTGGCATGACTAAATTTGGTAAGGCAAAGTTGTGTTTGGATTGAAGCCAAAATAATCTAAATTCACTATTGAAATGGCCTATTTTTTTTAGGCATGCCAAAATTTGGCTTCAAACCAAATAGACACTAAACACTATTAAAATTGCCAAATATTGGTAAGCCTAATTTATGCCTCAAACCAAACCAGCCCTTAAAAACCAACGCTAAAATAATTACGTTGAAAATATCTTAAAATCAACTCTAAAATCTAGATAAAAATTCAAATATTGGTTTTTTTTTTGACTTATTAAGCCAACCGATGAGGCTCATAGACAACTCATATCATTATCAAAATTGGCACATATACCATATCCGCCTGTGCAGGATGTGCTTGCTGCACCAGCGTTTTCCTCAGCCTATCATACCACGTCTGACAAAAGCAGCACCACTACGTACAGAACCAAAGCTTGAGCTTACCTTGACCGTTGGATCCGTAGAATCATCCAGAACTTGCACGATGAGCCTATCCGACGGCCACGATAGTCCGCAAGCTGCTCCTATCGACAGCTTGTACACCTGCGACCATACAGAGCCCAAATGAGCCGTACGTACGCGAGCTGTATACGCATACGGATACGGTTTTACACTTTTAGTACTTTTCACGCGCGAGCCAGCGCGTATACGTACGGTCAAAAAATACGTAGGCGCGTACCTCCCTCTCGTTGTACATGGGGATTTGGACGAGCACCATGGGGTAGGCGACGCGGCCGGCCTCCTCGTCGTCGTCGTCGTCGTCGGCGCCGGCGCCGGCGCCGAGCGGGGTCGCGCGGTACCGCCGGTCGGGGCGGCGGCGGGCGAAGCAGGCGGCGGCCATGAGCACGGCGTCGGCGAGGAGCATGGCGGAGAGCGCCAGGCACGCGGCGGACGCGGCCGCGAGCGCCGGCGCCACGGCCGACGCGCGCGCCGCGCCCCACGCCGCCACCAGCTCGGCAGACGACGGCCACCGCAGCAGCAGCAGGAGGAGGGACTCGCCGCCTCGCCACCGCACCGCCGCTGCGGCGCCGGCGGTGGGCCCGTCGGCGCCGGCCATGGCCATGGCCCCCGCGCTCGTGTGCTCACTGCTCGCGACTGCCTTTTTAGCCTGTCGTCGGCTCTGGTTGCAGCTGCAGCTGCTTTTCTGTGCGCTTCGGTGCGCCCAGGGCGCCTTTTCGCCTTTTTATTTTGGGTGTACTTTAACGATGAGTCGAAGATGGATTCTAATCCTCCAGGATGACTACCCATTTATATTTATTGCATGTCAATTAAATAGTTATATTTTTTCTTAAAAAAATATAAAATAAATTAATATGTAATATATCACACTTTACAAAAGATGCAAGTTTAAATTCGATTTATATAAGTTGTAACAAAAATAACAAATTAAACTCTAATTGTATATGTATATTCACAGTCAAAATTGTTATTTTTGTTACAACTTATAGAAATCGAATTTGAACTTGCATGTTTGTGAAGTGATATATTACATATTAACCTATCTTATTAATTATTTTAAAATTTTTTATAACCATTTAGGTGACATGTAAAAAACGAGTGGACGTATACCCGAGTGTTTTAAAACAGTTTCCCCGATGAGTCCCCGACTATTAACTGATTTCTATGACTAGTGGACCCACAAATCTTAAGCCGATAAATCAGTGAAAACTTCGAAGTTAGTTGCAAAATTTTTAAAAAATAACGTACGAATAAAACTTTATATTTGTGTCCTTAATAATATAAAACCCCTTGATAAAAATAAAAATACAGTATGATAAAAAGAAACTTTAAAGACAGCTTATAACTATGCTTTAAAATTTAAATTTTGGGTGCGGTTTATAATCTGAGAGGTAAATAGACATATATGACCGTGGGCATGCTTGGTTCAATGCTATTGCTAGACTTAGGGGCTGTTCAGATTGATGTCATTTTTAATCGTACCTTTTTTTTTGCAACGTTACAAAAAGAAGTTTCTATATTTAGTTTTTAGTTTGTTGCCAAACTTTGGTAAATACATAAGAAATTCTGCCAAAATTTTGGTAATATTATCAACTTGTCAAAATTTTGACAGGTTTATTTTAGCTATAATCTGAATAACCTCTTGCTAATCTTTTGGTAATGGCATGATTTGACCACTGTCAAAGTTTTGATAAAGTTGTTTGGATCATCGTTAGAATATTCGGCAAAGGTTGAATAGGCTTTCAACTTGCAAGTTGCTATAAAAATGTGTCAAATAATTCATTTGGCAGTGCTATTTTTTTGGATTCCAAACCAAAGGAGTAATCTTCGTCATGCCAATTATTTGGCACGGTTGAATTGGGCTCCAACCCAGACAAACCCTACACTTTTGCTCTGAAAAAAAAATAGAAGCTAAACGGAGGGAAGAAAAACAACTTAAATTAACTTAACGTTACGTCCTAAAAATTAAAATTGGCTGCCCAACTGGCAGGTCCATTGCAAACCGCAGCTTGTGAAAAAATCTTTTCCTTTTCAATACACAAGCACACTCTGTATTCCTAACCCATCTAAAAGACATGAAACAAGGAATTAATCCGTGGAATCTAGTGAAAGCATGTTTACGATTAAAATGCTTATAACTTTTTTCACTGATAAAAAATGCTTCTTAGTGATACCTGTATTCTTAGCTAAGCTTCCAGTCTTATATCTAGGGTGTTTCCCCTCTTTTTTTTTCGTCGGTCTTCCGTGACCGAGTGCAGTGTGTATCTACGTACTTCTCAATTGATGTGTAAAATTTTTGCGAGTTCAAAAAATAAAAATCTTTATAGCACAATTAGTGTACATGGCCATTCGCTATCTCCACTACTTCTACGATTAATTAAACCTGTCCATGACCAATAACTCTTTTTAGATCATGATTGGTTAATCCTTAAAAAAGAGAGTTATTAGAGAGAATTTATTTCGTATTTATTATAGTGTAAAATTATTATTACTTAAGGGCATGTACAAAGGTAGAGTCGGATATGAGCTCTACGTTATTTAGAGACTAACAATCCTACAACAGTTAGAGACAATATGGTTACTAATCATTAATATATCAAAATACTTTTTCTTACTTTTATTTCCTTTCTTTAACCACCATGCAACAAAATTTGCTCTAGTAAATGCTAAGAGTCAACTCTGAGCCATTGTCATGCATAACAACCATACTCTTTTCTCTTTCCTCCATGTCACCAAATTTACTTGCATGGCAATAAAGAGAGAACATTAATAAACACCGTTGTACATGCCCTAATCTCTCAATAACTTTCTACAATCCCCTTCAAACCAGTAGGGGGCTGGGTGCAGGGCTGCAGGCTCTTCGAGCGGAAACGCCAAGGCTGCAAAGCAGTGTGGTCGCGGCGGACGGTGGAGACGGAGTGCAGACAAAACGGCGACAGCGAAACCGTCCATCGGCGCATCAGTAGCGGTCGCTACCGACTGGCGACTGCCCATGCATGCAGCCAAAAAGTGCCCAAAGCCATTTTCGAAGGGATTGGACGTGCCCGCCTGCCCGGCGAGAGCCTTTTTTGCACAGGCCGTGTTGCACGTGTTCAGCTACTGGACGAGACTGAAATCCAGGTCATGTGTCATGTTGCAATCCGAGCACATATTCGCGAGGCTATGCGCCGCTAGGCGTTCGCAGGGGCAGTGCACTGAGTTGGCATTCATCTTATATGCTCCACAGCAAATATTCTGCGCCACATTCGTTCGTCCGTACTTCCAGACTTGATCACGCGTTCTTCCGCCTAATAGAGGGCGAGTGGCATGGGAGCGAGCTAGCACCGCGCCACCGCAGCCACGCTGTGGAGGTTGTGGCTTGCCTGCGTTGTCGTTAGCCCATGAGTTCGGCCCCCAGTCCCAAAATCACCCTCGCCACCCTCGCGTGTGGGCCGGCTAACCTTTTTCCCGCTCTGCGCCCGACCTCACCCTCCCTTGCGCACACCGGCTCCGTTTTTCCACCGCCACGCCCGCCCTCGCTCTCGCTCTTAGTCTTCTCATCGTCGCTACCAGGAGCACCAGAGCCGTCGCTGGAATGAGCAAAAGCCACAGCAGTCGCAGGAGCCGTTGCGCCAGATCAAGGTACGTTAGTGTGAAACCCTAACCCAGAAATTATGCCCCTTGTTCCAAGTTTTTTTTTCCTCTCATCATGGTTCAAACCCTAGGTGGCGATGGATCCAGCGATGGTAGCATGCTTCACTCGTTTTTTTGCAAGATCCAAACCTGGCAACTAGTTTTTCTCAATCTTCTGGCCATCCATCTCCACTCCCCGCACATCTGGCGTTCCCTTTCCTGCCTGCAACGTTTCTCCCCTTCTGCACTTAGCTGCCGGCACCTCCGACTCCAAGCACAGCTGGTGTGGCGGCACCGTCGAGCTCCTCTAGATTTACACGCCAGCACTGTGTGGTGGTCCCTAGAAGTTGTTGATCCAAAAGGTAAGAGTTACTACTCAAATGAAGAGGACATAAGGCTGGTATGTGTTCTTTATCCTTCTTAGCATTTGTTCAATCGTAGCTGTAATGTTGTCAATTTCTAAAATATTCTCTGGTCTACAATTGTGTCATAGTTGGTTCATTGATCTGCTAACTGATACTCCCTCCGTTTCATATTGTAAGACTTTCTAGATCCATATTCATATAGATATTAATGATTCTAGACACATATATGCCTAGATTCATTAACATCTATATGAATATGGGCAATGCTAGAAAGTCTTACATTGTGAAACAGAGGAAGTAGTAGACAAGTGAACTTTGGAGTTATGAGTGATGTATAACAAAGAATCTTATGTAAATTGTCTTATGTAAATTGTGATGTACAACCGATCATTGTTGTTGGAGGTGAGTGAAATTAGGATTGTACAAATTGAGTCTATATTGGACTGTAGAAACTGAGTGATGTATGAGTGTTAGATTCTTATATAAATTGTGATGCCAGTTGTGCTTAATTTCCTAAATTGTCATTGGAAAAGTCATTTTTCTCAAGTACTATACTGTTCTGCGCAGTTGTCTTTACAAGCTCCTTTTGGGTGCTACAAGTCAGTTTTGGATCGTTAGTTGATAAATTAACTGCTTGCTCTCCTAGTGTGTTTGGTTTGTGCATTAGGCCATAATACGATTTGGAAAATTCTTTTTTTTTCAAGAAGTAATGTTGTAAAAATTGATGTGGGATGCATTTAGAAAATGAGCCGTACAATTATAAGGTTTTTATCCTAATTTCTCTTATAAATTGGAAGTGGATTCTAAACTCTCGAGGGACATCCCCTTGTTATTTACATGTCATTCAAATGGTTATGAAAAAATTTTAAAAAAATCAACTAGATAGATTGTTATGGGTGTGATAATAAAAAACAAATTCTATTAAAATTCAAAAACATACAAGTTAAAATTCAACTTCTATTAGTTATAATAAAAAACAAATTAAACTATGGCCGCTAGATTTGTTTTTTTTTACAATTTGTAGAAGTTAAATTTGACCTAATATGTTTAATATGTTTATGGAGTAATTTATTACATATTAATTTATCTTGTTAATTTTTTTAAAAAAAATCATAACCATTTAGATGACATGCAAATATCGGTTTAGAATAGTTCCCGCAATGGCAAATGTCATTGTTTGTTGACTGTATTTTAATGGTATTTGTTGATTTTTTTTAAAAAGGAACTACAGTGTTTTGGGACGAGGTAGTAACTTGCTTTTAGGTGTCTTTCCTGGTGATTTAAACAAGCAAGAGGCAAACAGCTCGTTCGATTTCGGTTGTGCAAAGGTGCTGGTGTACGTAGTTCAGCGGTTCAGCCCCGAACATAGCGTATGGTATGGAGATCTGATTCTAGCGCCGGCCGTGCAGATCTTAACCATTTTGACGGCACAACTTCACCAATCTGAATCACGGACCGCATGCTCACAGTTGCTCACAAGTCACATCCATTCAGACACGAGAGCTAATGAAGAAGTAACATCGCATCAATGGACATAACAAACACATTATTAAATACAACATCCTATTACGCATGCATGATGCATCTGAAACAAAGCTTAATACTCCCTCAACTCCACCATGCCTCGCCATGAACACACAAACCGGAAGCTAATTTGCGCACCTCAACGCACAGCTCGGTCAGCACAAACACCTCCCCTGCAAGCGCCGGCGCCGGCGCCACACCGCCACCGAGTCGCACCTCCACAGCAGCGCCAAGCTTCTTCAGGGAGGCTATAGCTATAGCTGCCGAACGCGCAGGCGGAGACCGCGGGCGGACATGGTCTCTTCACCATTGGTACTTGGCCTTGACAAGGACCTCCTCGTAGAGCTCGGCGGCGTGGTCCCAGCTGAGGTCCTGCGACATGCCGCGCACCTGGAGCCCCCTCCAGCTCTCCTTGTACTTGCGGTACGTCTCGAGGCAGTGGCCGAGCGCCTCGATGAGCTTGTGCGGCTCGGCGCGGTCGAACGTCCACCCGAGGCCGGTGTCCTCGAACGGGTCGAACGCCGACATGGTGTCCCTCAGCCCGCCGACGGCGTGCACGACGGGGACGGTGCCGTACGCCATGGCGTAGAGCTGGTTGAGGCCGCACGGCTCGAACCGCGACGGCATGACCAGCACGTCGGCGCCCGCCGTGATCCGGTGCGCCATCTTCACCGAGAACCCCACCCACCCGCGCACCTTGCTGTTGTGCTGCGCCTCGAACCGCTGCAGCATCACCTCCAGGTCGCGGCGGCCGGAGCCCAGCAGCACCAGCTGCACGTCCTGCCCGGCGATCCACGGCATCGCGTCGCCGATGATGTCCACACCTTTCTGCCCGTCGAGCCGCCCGATGAACCCGATCAGCGGCACGTCGTCGCGCACCTCCAGCCCCAGCTCGCGCTGCAGCGCCGCCTTGCACCGCGGCTTGCTGGAGTCCAGCGAGGCCACGGTGTAGTTGGCGTAGCCGTCGGACTGCAGGTGCACGTCCACCTCCGGGTTCCACTCCCGGTAGTCGATGCCGTTCACGATGCCGTTCATCTTCCAGTCGTTCTCCCGTATGATGTCGTGGAGGCCCCAGCCGCCCTCCGTCGTCTTCAGCTCCCAGAGGTAGCCGGGGCTCACGGTCACCACCCGGTCCGCCATCTTCAGGCCCGCGCCGAAGATGTTGGCGTGCTCGCCGCCGACGGGGTCGTACAGCTTGAAGTGATCCAGGTAGTGCTCCGGCAATTCCATGTAGGGGAATTCATCTACTGGGCCACGGCCCTACAAACATTACACGAACCATTTAGCACACAAAAAAAGTACTCCCCGGCCCGTTTCATATTGTAAATTGTTTTGATATTTTTTTAAGTTAAACAGTTTTAAATTTAATTAGTTTATAGAAAAATACAATAACATTTCCAATACAAAACAAACATATAATCAAATTACATTAAACATTATATTTAATTAAACTAATTTGATGTTATAGATGCTGTTAAATTTTTCGATAAAGTTAATCAAACGTAAAGATGTTTGATTAGAAAAAAAACGACTTATAAATTATAATATGAAACGGAGAAATTGCTGAACTAAAAGTAGTAATAGACTGAAGAAGAGTTTATCGTGTCCCTGCTCAATAATTACCATGACCCACAATTTGTGCACTCAACTAATTTCTCTAACAAACAGCAGGAGATGCATACAAATAGAATAAAGATGATTCATTAGGGAGGAGAGAAAAACAAAACCTGGTAAGCGATATTATGTATCACAAGGACAGAGCGAGTGTACTGCATCATGCCATTGTCTCTGTAATATGCCTTCAGATAAACAGGCAGGAGTGCAGTGTGCCAATCGTTTGCAAGGAACACCAAGTTGCCATCCCCATAGGGCACACCACCGCATGGAACGTGCCAAGGAACCTGCCGATTGTACAGAAACAGAAAATATAGCCCTTTGTAGGGGAACATATGACAACATTGGCAAGAGCATTGCATATTACGAACGGTAGCAGGTTGAAATGCTGCTAGAGGTATCGAAGGAGTTCATCCGTGTATTTGGCGATAATGTGTAATATATTTAAAATAAAAAAGAATATGAATCTCTGTGAAATCTTGCAGAAACATTTACGGGCTGTTTGTTTGAGGGATCAAATTCAAATCATCTACTGCGACCTCATTTCTCCTACTTATTGTGTGCTTCAGTCCAAAAGTTAATACACTTCTTCTATTTATCAACAGAAAAAATGATTTGTGCTTTTGACCAATCCTCAAACCAAACAAATACATCTCATTCCTAAAACCAAATTAATGATTGATAATGGAGTTGGAGAAAATACCTCAACAGCAGCCTTACAAAACAGAATCATGCGCTTCATGATTTCCTGAATGAAAATGGGAATGGGTAAGCATTTTCAAATCAGTACGCCTAGGAGATGCAACTTAAGTTTTACTAATGCAATGTAATACCAAACAGATAGAAGCTTCACCTGTCTGTTCCCCCCATAGATGTCATCCTGACGGTGACGGAAGAGAGGAGCGTCAATGAACACAAAATCAACTCCATCGATAAATGCATGGAAATATTTCACTTCCAGATCCTGCAGGCCAAAATAAAAACCAATTACTAAGGAATTTGCGTCTCCTATGCCAGTCTTCTTGGATTGCATTGTTGACACACACCTGTCCAGCAGCCTTGTAGTATTTCCTGATTCCTACATCCTGGGCTTCCGCGTAATCACCGTACCTTGGTACCACAACCTAAGATTGAAAGATGCATTTGCCAGTTATCAGTTTATATCAGGAAGTCACCGAGAGTCCCCGTTTCCGATCTCTGAATACGTTGTGGTTTATATTATTACCATAACTAAAATTGCTAAAAAAAATTGCTACATTTCTCTACTATCTTAAAAGCGAAGTCGTCTTCCTTCCATCCCCTCCTCCCAACACGTGCAGCATGTCCATATGCGAAAAGTAACTACCGTCCCTCCCTAATTATAAGGGCCTAGTTCGTTAACGGGCTCCTAATCTATCCCTAATTGTATGGGCCTGATCCGTTATCATGTACAGGTATGTAACTAGTGTAACTAAGAGAACTACTTTTGGCACTAGTTTCCATGGCCACGTGATGATCTAAGCGGCTACGCCATAGTGTATATATTTTCAACAGCATGTTAGAAATGAACATTTCTGTAACAATAGTAAGCAATTTAGCTTTCAAGTACAGATTTGCAAATTTATCAATATTACTTTTGTATTTTGAATCTAACAGCTGGAGTAGCCTTTTTAATTTGCCATCATGATTATGTAAACAAAAGAACATAAGAGAACTAATCTGCTTTACATTTGATCCAAATTTATATATCTGAAAATATACGTTAATTAAATGATCAAATCTGTAAGAATGGAAGAAACATCCAACCATGAAGGAGAGAAAAAAGGAGTAATACCATAACACGATGTCCTCTCCTCGCCAAAGCTTTGGGTAAAGCACCTGCAACATCTCCAAGCCCACCTGTGCAAATGCAACACTTGTTCATATCAGTAACTGAAGCAAATTTACAAGATCAGAAGAACAAAAAAGAGAAAAAAGAAGTATATATCGTGTACATGCCTGTTTTGCACCAGGGAGAACATTCAGCAGCCACCACGATCACGTTCATGACATTCTCCCCAGCCAAAGGGCCCGAATCGTCATCCTGGTCGATCTCAGAATCTGACGCATCTGAATCAGCCCAGTCATCATCGTCATCGCCATCCTCCGCGGCGTCCGGTTCGTTCAGATCAAAATATTTCTTGAAATCCCACGTCTCCTCTTCTACCGCAGGAATAGGGGAAGATCTAGTCGCCTTTGGCTTCGGAGCACTCTCAACAACTTTTGCGCTCTTATCCTCTGCAAATTCCGAATTGTCAGGCTTGGGGAGAGGAGCGGACGACCTGGGATTTGAACCGGGCGGTGGCGGCGCCGGCGCCGTCGCGTCTGGGATGACGAACTCCGGCTGCGGCTTGTCTACGGATGGAAGGATCACGGGGGAGTCCGGCGCTGGGAGCTTCGTTATGGTCACCGGCGGCGTGGCGGCGGCAGGCTTGTCGGCGCCGGTAACGACCGATCCGTTCCGTGAGGCAGGTGTGTCGTCGTCGCGGCCGCTGAGAAGCGCTCCGTTCTTACTTGAGGCGGCGTCCTGTGTCGGCGCCGGCGCCGGCGCGGCCGCCCCGCGCACTCTCGCCGCATCACCGCCGGAGCCGTACCGGCCGACGGGCGGGACGGTGCCCCTCCGCTTCAAGACCTGCAAACACAGCGCGCGCACGCGCAAGCACACGCGTCGGTTTCAAATGAAAACATCAAAGCGAATCAAAGCAGAGAACACCTCTCGAGCACGACGATCTCGGCGCCCCGATCGACACCACCAACCCACCTTGCCGACGCCGCCGCGACGCGAGCGGGGCGGCTGCCACGCGCCCGAAGAGAACTCCTCCTCCTCGTCGTCGTCCTCACCCGCCCGCTCCACCGCCGCCTCGTTCTCCCCATCATCCGCGCGGCGCACCACGCCCGCATCCCGACGCCGAGGCCGAGGCCGGGGCGGAGGCGGCGCCCGTAGGGCTAGCCTTCCGGCGCGGCCGTCGTAAAGCAGGGCCGGCGGCGCGGCCACGCCCACCACCCTCCCCCTCCTGGGCCCTCCCCGTGACGCCGAAGAGGCGAGCGCGACGAGGAACGTGGTGGATGACGCGACGACGGCCGACGACATGGTCGCCCCGAGGAACCTCCCCGATCGAGCCGGAACCGAACCGAAGCGACGGACGAGAGCGGAGGAGGCGCGGGTTTGAGTGTGTGCGCGTGCTTTGCTTTCGTCCCGCGCGTGCCGTGCGGGGGATGAAATGGGCAGCGAGCGACGACGGCGAGGAGGGCACGCGGGGGAGACGGCGGGGGAGCCACCTGTAAAGCGTGCGCCACCGGTGGCGTGCGCCGTGGCAATCCGCAACGCTCCAAAACCCCAAAACCAACGCAGCCGCGCGCGGCGCGCGGGGAGGAGTAGCCGTTTCTTCTCTTCTCTTCCCCTCCCCGTCGTCCGCTACGGGAACCTCGACCGAGGGCCCCACCTCTCCAGAAGCGAGTTACTTTGTCTGCCATGCGGGGTCACCCGTTTCGCGGGGCCCGCGTGTCGGTGACGTTAACGGCTCGGGGTGCACGCGCGGAGGAATAGGTGGTTTTGGAAAGTGGGGCAAAACCCCCACGTCCCCACGCACGAACGGAAACCGGCGTGCTAAACAAACCTCGGAACGTTTCTTCGACGGCCGTAGAACTGGCTGACAGCCGGGGACCACCTGCCAGTGGAAGCTTCGCGGTGTGCAGCGCTGCACCATATCCACGTGAGAACAAATCCGGTTCGCTTCACGACTCCAGTCCAGCCGTCAGGCGATGGCGTGCCAGTTGCGGATGCAGGTTTAAAATACAGGTAGAATGGCAGTGGTGGCAGAGCTAGCTCTAATTAGGTAATGATACAACACACACAAACCATAGTCGCTAGTTTACGGTATTGGCGTAATAATACACGGCACGAATATTGAGAAAGTTAACAACGAAGATTGGTAGTCGAACAAACGTATATAACTTATACGAGAGAGATAAAAAAAAGAAATGCTGTTAGAAAATAAGCGGAACCACTTTCAATAGTTCGGGGGTGGGGGTATAAAACAGGATGAAAAATTATTTAGGGGTTTAAGCGCTTCATCAAAATAGTTCAAGTGAGTAAAATGGATTTTTTTATATATTTACCAATTTAACTATTTACTGTAGGTTGTATTATGTGCTAAAGGAATAGAAAGAAAATCGAATTTTATTTACGGCTAAAATCAGAAACGGTCAAAATGGTACTACTTATACACGAATTTTCATAAAAATTTTTGTTCCTACTTAAAATACTTGATTTATCTGATTATTCAATAGTAGACTGATGACTAATGTGTAAGAAATCTATATCTCTGCTATTATAAAAATTGAAGATGTTTACGTCGGTACGTTATCCGTGTATGAGTCAGTTTTTAGGTTCGTTTGGTTTCGGAAATACATATTCGTATTTGAGTCGGTTTTTAAAATCGTTCACTTTTAGTAATACAAAAGGAATCATATAAGAAATTTGTTTTAAAAAAACTCTCATGCTAACTTGAGACGATCGGACTCCTAACTGCAGCTCATGATTTTCAAAAAATATATATATCCAAGCGAACTCCCACAGTGAATTTCATATTAACTAAACCATATAACAATATTAAGATTAAAATAGACTTTACCCGTTGCAACGCACGGACATTTTTTCTAGTCTATATACCTAATAATTAAAAAATACGTTTGATTTCTGGATGTTTTTTTGTCCGTCATACCACACGCGTCGCTAAAATCCGGATTTAATCCGGTTAACAGTCGGACCGGGGTTTTTTTTTTATCTACCCCAAAACCACGTTTGATATGGTATATGTATCTTCCATGTAATTACCTCTCACGTGTAGCAATCTATCTAAGTTTTCATTTCGGCCACCAGGGTTTGATTCCCACTTTCCTCTCCATTTAACACCATTTATTACTTTTACTGTGTCTATGGGTCTCTCTTAAAATAAGTCTACTTTGCCTCCTTCGTGTCAAATCATATTTGCCTTCAAATTTTTTCTCCTCTTTTTTCAACAGATTTTTATTGATTCTTTTTTAATATATTTTTATTGATTATGAAATCTTATAATAAATCCGTTTTTAATTTGAAAATTAAATATAATTAAATTATATACACAAAAATCAATATATGTTTACCTAGGCCCTAGAATAATTCTACTTTCACTCCCTCGTCTCAAATCATATTTGCGCGTAATTTTTTTTCTCTCAATCACTAGCACGGACCATGCACATCCGAGGGCTGAAAAAACAGAAGTTTTGCACCTCTTTCTTCAATAGATTTTTAGTGATTCTAAAATCTTATAATGCACCAGTTTTTAATTCGAAAATTAAATATAATTATATTATATACACAAAAATCAATATAAATACATGAACCAATCGGTATTTTTTCAAAACATGAAAACTGAATATGTGCATGGCGTGAAACTTCACACCATGGCTCTGTTCCTTCTATCTCCGATTTTTGTTAGCGCGTTTTTGAAACTTTCTATATACAAGTTGATATAAAATACTATATATTTTTTAATTACTATAATAATAAAACTCAATTAATCATGCGCTAAGAGAGGTTTTCTACAGAAGAAAAAGGAACATATGGCACGGCTGGCACTGTTCAGGTTTTGTCAGCTAGAGCATAGCACTGTACTGTTGCATTGTGATTATAATCAATGCAATGTTATAGCAATCATCAATTATGATAAAAGATTATAAAAGTGCCATAAAAAATTGTAGTTTAAAATAATTAATGACCTCCCAAAAAATTCATTATTGATGACTTATACGTAAAGGTGTGTTGCTCGGCTATCTGTTTCTCCAATGCTACAATCATCGGGACCATGTGTTAGGGACATCATTCACATCCTGCACGCGTAGAGTGGATTAATTGTCCAAGCACAAATATGCATTTGTGATAACTATGAATTGTCGCCGGTACTTATGATTATACTTAGGTGCTTCGATAAATCATTGAGGTCATATTTCATCCACCTAACCATTACGCAGTGCAATGCACATGTATTTTATTCAGTCGTCCACGCGTGAGTCCTGACACGATCCATCTCTACACGAGTATGTGTTCGATTTTGGAAATGATATGATAGTTTGTCACACAAGGGTCGAGAGAGAGAGCGTGTTTTTTTATCCGTCGTGATTATCATTAGCCTAATAAATAATTTATCTATCTTGAAACAGTACTATATACATGTTAACTCTAGACTTTATAGCATTTAACTGTTCCTTTACCCGTAGCGACGCACGTGCATTTTTCTAGCATAACAATAATATGATTAAAATAGCCTCACCCATTGCAACACATTTTTTCTAGTTAGATTTTAATAACTTACTGTAACATACATTTTTTTTAACGAATCGACCAGCACCTGTGCAATTCAAGCATTCTGATTTAAAACGTAAAATTATCTCAGTAACAGTAAGGGAGAGTACTCATGAATAATAATGACATGAAACATCCATGTAATAAATATATATATCGACAACGGAACCGACTATGTCTATACGGTGCAAGGAGAAAAATATATTGAACGACTTGGTACTTATATATATATTTGCACCAGAGTACAAATGACATTGATATAAACTAATTAGACTGATCCCCTAGATTAGACCTAATTACAACGTCTTGCAGAGTGAAACTAAAAAAAAAAACTAGCTGGGCAGCATGCAGCCATATATGCACTCATATGTACTGGGGTACTATATATTATATCTAAGATCAAACTTCTAATCTACTTGATTGCACCTAATTTATGAGCATCCATCTTGTTGCTATAAATTAAGCTGATGGCTCTGCAGAAGAATTAAAAAAAAAACAAAAATCAGAATCAGAATACAGCACTCGTCGGAGAGGATCAATTCAGGATTGATGAAGATAACATGTATTATTTTTTCTATAAAGAATTGTTAATTCATGTTTACCGGGAGATGGAGATGGAGCAGCAGCAGGAGTAGGAGCAGGCATCAACGGTGGCACTGGTCCCGCTGTCAAAATTAACACAACATCGATAAAAATCAGTCTTCCCGTAGATAAACATTATTAGTACTATGTATAAATTGAGAAAAAAAGAATTGCAAAAGTAGAACACAGCTAATTAAAATGATATATATATGTGAAATTCGGGAAACTGCTGAGAAAGAAAAATGAAGCTAATACTTACTGAAGCACTTGGTGAGAGCCTCGACAGGAGGGGTCACACCGCAGGTGGCTGGAAGAGACATCATGCGTGTGAGATCGATGGGCGCCGGCATGAACTTGCCGATGTTGCCGTTGATGCCGTGGCAGAGGCAGATGGGCGCCATCTCCACGAGCGACTTGAAGCCGTCGCAGCAGACGCTTGGCGGAGCCGGCACATCGGTCTTGGTGGCATACTCCACGCACGGCATCAGTGCCATCAGCGACGACAAGCACTCCGTCGGCTGTGGTGTGATAGGCGCTGCCACTGCCAGTGCGCTCTGGGAGCTATTGGGGACTTGTACTGGTGCACCTGATGATCCCGGTGTGATGGAAACTGACGGCAGTAGTGGTGGCAATGGCGGAAGCTCTGGGATTTGGATCGTTGGAAGTGGCTGCAGTTGTGGAAGCCCTGGGATTTGGATTGTCGGAAGTGGTTGCAATGGAGGAAGACATGGGATTTGGATCGTCGGAAGTGGCGGCAATGGTGGAAGACCTGGGATTTGGATCGTTTGCAGTGGCGGTAGACCTGGCAATCCAACCAGCGAAGCTGATAGCTGGGACACGTCGGCATTGGCCTTCTAAACACCTGGGCGTCCCTGACGGCTGCCGATGGCTGCAGCGAGGCGACGGCGAAGAAGGCCAAGAACACGACGAGGAGGATGCGCCATCTTCATCTACTTGCGAAAGCTGGGTTTCTGTACGTGGGTTGATGTGGTCGATGTTCGTTGGTCCATGCCACAGCTGGTTATATAGTGGTAAACACTTGTTGTAATGACACCGGTCTGTTTTCCTTTCAAGTATATTCATCTCTCACGTGTGGATTAATTTGAAAAGCTGTTATAACTTTATCTATTCCAGATACTTTGTCTTTATCTCATTATTATCCGGTTATCTCGGCCTTAACGCGCATTGTTTTTCTCTGATATTTCTAAAATTTACAGTTTGACAGGTTTGGAGACTTCAGACTTGAATTTATTAACTAAAAATATGGGTGGGTTAAGCTACGGAACATGGTTGATCGCGGAACGATGGCTCTTCATTATCTTGCTAGGACTTTATCTGGTTGTATGTTCACATACATGCGTTTGTCAGCCACGTTGGGTGAAATTAGCCGTCTTGATAGGCAATGTTTCTCCGTGATGATT